AAGAAAGAAGAAAAAGGAAAGAAGAAGAAAAGAAGAGGAAGAAGAAGAAAAGAAGAAGAAGAAGAAAAAGAAGAAGAAAAAGAAGAAAAAGAAGAAGAAGAAAAAGAAGAAGAAGAAAAAGAAGAAGAAGAATTGATGTATGACAAATAGGGTGAAGAGAGACACTTGTAGAATAAGTACTGAACGAAAATCAGAGAGAAAGAGAGAAAGTGAAAGAGAGAAAGAGAAAGAGAGAGAGAGAGAGAGAATCGAATATAAGAGAAGCAAAGATGGAGAAAGAAAAAAATGGAGAGATAAAGGGGAATGAAAATGGAAGAAAGTGAGAAAAAAGAGAGGGGAAGAAAAATAGCGTGAAACAATACAGAGAGAGAGAGAGAGAGTGAGAGAGAGAAAGAGAGAGAGAGAAATAGAGAGAGAGAGAGAAGAGATATGGAGTAAAGAAGAAAAGAATATGTGAAGAAAATGGGTAGGTTTTGGTTTTGGAGTAGAATAGAGAAAAATAAAAGCATGAACGGAGATGACAAGAGAGCAGAATAGACCAGATAGATAGAGATAGATCATTAAGAGAATGAAATAGATAGATAGATATAGATCCTTATGAGAATGAAATAGATAGATAGATAGATAGATAGATAGATAGATAGATAGATTCTTAAAAGAATGAAATAGATAGATAGATAGATAGATAGATAGATAGATCATTAAGAGAATTAGATAGATAGATAGATAGATCATTAAGAGAATTAGATAGATAGATAGATAGATAGATAGATAGATAGATAGATAGATAGATCATTAAGAGAATGAAATAGATAGATAGATAGATAGATAGATAGATCATTAAGAGAATGAAATAGATAGATAGATAGATAGATAGATAGATAGATAGATCATTAAGAGAATGAAATAGATAGATAGATGGATAGATAGATAGATAGATCCTTAAGAGAATGAAGTAGATAGATAGATAGATAGATAGATAGATAGATCATTAAGAGAATGAGATAGATAGATAGATAGATAGATCATTAAGAGAATGAAATATATATATATATATATATATATATATATATATATATATATATAGATAGATAGATAGATAGATAGATAGATAGATAGATGTAAAAAGGAGAGGGAAGATTGCGTGAAACAACAGAGAGAGGCAATATAGAGTAAAGAAGAATAAATGACAGGAGAGCTGAATGAACCAGAGAGAGAGAGAGAGAGGGAGAGGGAGGGGGAGAGAGAGGGGAGGGAGAAAGAGAGTGTGAAACAATAAAGATAGAGGGTATGTGCAGTAAAGAAGAAATGAGAAGAAAGGAGATATGTCTTGGAGTTGGAGAAGAATAAAGAATGAGAAAAGCATGTCAGGAACCTGAGAAACTTTCTTTTTATATCGGGGGAAGCTATATTCCCAAATGGAATCAGCACCACGGGCTTGTAAGCAGCACCACGTGGAAGCTGGGTGGAGGAGGCAAATTTAGCGTCCGTCCTGCCAAGGCAAGGGACTCGCCCGTGCTAAAAGTATCTGCTCGGTTTCACTTCTGAAAGCTGACTGAATAACTACCACACTTGTAACGTCATTAAGCAAAGGGAGATAATCGCCTTTTTATTCCTACTCTATCGACATTTTCCGGCAGTGATGCACCATATAGCTATATTGATGTACCGGAAGTATATTGCGCTTGGGGAAGAATACGATGAAAGAGACCGGACGCTAAAATTTCTAGGGAGAATAAGTAACGAAGTAATCGTTCTAAGTAACGCGGTTAATCGAAATAAGGGCTTAAATAAAAATGGCGTGCAGATAATTCTTTTAAAAATAGTCAGGGAGCGATTTCTCACTGTATTTATATGATGAAAAACATCCGCCTGATGCACGTTCTTAATTATTAAAAACTAGCAGCAGAGCCCGGCGTTGCCCGGGGATGAAACAGTCAGAGATAGATCAAGTATCGACCATCATAAAGACTGAAAAATAAAATTGACAAAGATTATTGTTTAAGGTTGGCGGACACGCATGTCTTAATTAATTTTTTTTTTTTTTTTTTTACGAATTGGTCAAACCCAAACTCAAATAAAAACATTGTTTTCAATCGTTATGAGTCTATCGATTGAATAGAATTTTATTATAAACAATTGTCTTGTAAATGGAATTTTTAAAGAATTCTGAATGTAAAAATAAAGAAAAAAGTGTGCAAGACAATAAGAAACACTACCTGCCAAAAAAAAAAGTGAAGTTTTGTTGGAATCGGATGAAAAATGTAGGAAATCCGATCCCATATATAAACGAACACACACACACACAACCTGGGGTTTATAAGTATAACTCAATATGAGTTATCTCCCCTTTCATTCCGGTGATGCCTCCTAATCGTTTTTTCAAATTGATTTCGTGCAAAAACAATTGTGTTTTTCCAATTGTTGTCGCTGTTAGAACCACCGCAAAGTAATTTTACGTAGTCCTGTGAAGTTTTGTTGAAATCGGTTGAAAAATGTAGGAAATACGATCCCATATATAAACGTACAGACACACACACACACAATCTGCGTTTTATAATAAGTAAGATGTAGTATTTTTAAATTCTGACTAAGGTTGTCGCTTCAGGAGTGCCCAGCGCGTGTTAAGCTACAAGCATTGGGTAGAGAAAAATTTCCTATTTATTGCAAGTAGCGGTCGAGTGCTAAAACTATCTGCTCGGTATCACTTCTGAAAGCTGACGGGAGAACTACGACACTTGTCATTATGCAGTAACGTCATTAAGCAAAGGGAGATAATCGCCTTTTATCCCTACCCTATCGACATTTTCCAGTAGTGATGTACCATGTGGGTATATTTATGTATCGGAAATATATTGCGTCTGGGGTGAGAATACGATGAAAGAGGCCGGATGCTAAAATTTCTAGGAAGAATAAGTAACGAAGTAATCGTTCTAAGTAACGCGGTTAATCGAAATAAGGACTACGTTTCCTTACTGAGCCAAAAGTCTTAAGGATTGGATAACCAGTCGAGTAATCTTCATTTCTGGCTCTTATATCTTCAAGTCTTTTGCTCAAAGCAATCTTTTTCATGTCGAGTTGGCAGCAAGACTGTTCGGATATTAATCGTTTTCGTGTTATTTCTGGCTAAGAACGGCTTGCCGTTTTTAATTTCTGGCATTTTCCCAACCGATTAAAAAAGGTGTGTGTGTGTCGAGGCGGGGTCGGTGCTGAGAACATTTTAAACTGAGTTTATGGATAAATAAGGGACACCTTTATCAAATTTTCGACATCGATTTTGTTCAACAACAGTTTTGGTTCAATATAATCCCCTCTCTTAAAGGTAAGTTCCTAATTACAAACACCCAGAATTAGAATATGGAAAAAAACAAAACAAAACAAAAAACAGTGCGAATTGTTTGAAAGCTTTCAACGAATTTTGAGGATGTGCGCGTGGTGTAATGGATAGCGGCTCGGAATGTAAAATCGGATAGCCGAGTTTGAATTCCAGTCACGCGCAAATACCCTTATGAAACCTATGAATTCATCTTCATCCCCCAGCTATGGATTAAATAGTGGATACTTACCTGGTTCGAGGGTATCCCCCAGACGAGGCTATGTCGAAGGCCAGAGTCACGTCTCGGGAATCAGCTACCTGACTTCGTTTTTACGAGGTCTACAGGGAATTTTTGTCCGAGCCTACGGGCTCAGATACGCCACGATAGAACTCGGCCTTGTACCACATCTTGCTGCGTGGGACAGTGGGTAAATGCCTATTTTCGCAATGATGTCATTGGGAAAGCAAGAAACAGCGAAGGCTGGGCTCACGAGACTCCGATGGCAATCATTGTAGGGAGAAGGAAAATTGTAAATTACAAATCGTGGAGAAAGCCACTCTCGTTACCTAAGAATGAAAAGCAATTCACATCTAATGGAAGATTGTGTAGAGTCATGATCCGTTACGTCATAACATAACTCTCCTACGAGGGTGGGGGTGGTATTATTCATTTAGGGTCGAGTCATATGCAAAGGGGTCAAAATTTTCGATGTGCCGAATTACGTCCAGCTTACATTTTTATTTTGCAGGTTTTTTATAGGAAAATTATTCTACTTTTTGTTGACAGGAGGTCATAACAATTCAAAAAAGAAAAAAAAAGATTCAAAAAAAAAAAAAAAAAAGAATGAAAACTATATAGATACACAAACTCCTGAGGAGACATGTCATTAAATAATTGTGGTGGTAGGACCCACCTAATTTGCATAGTGGAGTGCCGACCATATAAATATGTTTGGTACCGGGAAGAGAGGGAGGAATCAAGAGATTCAACCAGAGACTCTGCCCGACTGCGACTCAGTCAACACATTCTCCAGGAACGGTCTTACCAGGAATATGCAAAAGACTATATGTAAATATTGTGTACACTTTCTTGTTTCAATACATTTTGTTCTAAGTACCTTTTGTGTTGCATTATTATTCCATGCATTAGTCAAGTTTCAACAATAATCTATTTAATTTTTTTCTATTTTTCGTATTAAATTTTTGTTAGGTGGAGAAAATTATTAAATTTTCTATTAATTAAAAATTAAAATTAAAATATACTACATACAAATTATCCGATCTGGTACTCCTGCTCTATACTTAGAGATTCTTGATAAAATCCAAAGAAGAATCTGCAATGTTATTGGGTCCTGACCTGGCATCTCGGCTACAGTTTCTTACCCAGCGCCGTAACGCAGCTTCTCTGTGCCTATTCTATAAATACTTTCATGGTAAGTATTTCTGATGTACTTTTTGCTAGGGTACGCCAATTTTATGAACTTAAGCGCAGTACTAAATTGGTGGCAGGGTTTCATCATTTTACAGTTAAGTTGAACCGTAAGTTCTATGCTAACAGTTTCTTCTTTCGGACTTTTCATTTATGGAACTCTTTTCCTACCTGTTGCTTTCCAGTCAGCTTTAATTTTCAAAACTTTAAGTGCAATATCAATCGTTATTTTGTGACGTCGTCCCCCGGTCGCAGCGCCGACTGTGACGTTCTATCCTGATCTACCACGGCGCCAGTTGTGACGTCCCTAAACAGCACCAAATGTGACGTCTTCGCCGCGGCGTCAGCTGTTCGCTCCTCGCCGCTCCGTCCGGGTGTCGCTGCTCCAAACGTGACGTTCTAACCCTTTGGTGATTCGGGTAGGAATCTGGTTAGATTGATACCAGCCTCGCCGTTCCCAACCCGCTTCCAACGCCTGGTTACCAGGGTAACTGCACTGATCTCCAGTCTGCCTACCCACGTTGTGAATTGATCTTAGACAGACGAGATCAAACAGGGGTTGGGGCCGTAATGCAAGCTGAGTTCAACGGGGGTGATAACACGCAAATATGTATAAAATAAAATAAAATAAAAACTCACAAAGTTCAAAGTATCAAAGAAAAAGGTAACAAACTTTTTATGTCTATTTGTTTGGTACATAGGACTATGTCTACTTCCCGACCCGTTCTGTGGATTGTGGCACGACGCTTTCGCTAGGCAAACTTTAACGCTTCAAGTTGTCTGCTCTCTAAGAAATTTGTGTTTCGGTGTGTCTTTGGACGAAAGTCGAAAAACTTATTTCTGTGGTCTGGTCCTAAGTCGCTCTTCAAACTACTTGTTCTTGGTTGAAGAAGAGTCCAAAAGTGTGCGTGAATCTTGGTCAGCTATCTTGATGCGGTTTCAACACTGGGCACTCATCTCTGCCTGCCGTCCGGGGCTCAACTCTTCTCTCCAGAGTCTGAACTACTGGGCACTCATCTCTACCGCCAGGTGCGCGAACTAACTTTTTCTCGCCAGCTTGGGTCGAACGAACTCTGCTCTCAGGGCCAAACGAACTGGCCTCTTCTGCCCGCTTGGGGCGAACGAACTCTGTCCGCCGTCCGAGTCTCAACTGATTTCTGTCTGGTGGGGCTTCGTTTTTATTGACGCCGTCAAAACTGGGGTGGGTCTGTCGGCGCCAGGGGTTCTTTGATAATTCTAAATACGTATCTACCCTTCTTATTTCTGGTTAGGGATTTTCCACTCTTTTCCATTTTTGGCAACACTTTTCTCACTCCCACTCTCTTACCGTGCTTCTGAGGGGCGTGCACTGCCTTCCCCACTTCTTCGTATCGGCTTCTCATACTTACACTCTGGATAGAGGCGTCGACTGATTTTCTTCGTGCGTCACGTGACCACTCTCGGCCAATGAGGTCCTGGTCGGGTATCTTTCCTCCTCCTTCGTGCGTCATGTGATACTTGGCCAATGACGTCTTAGTCGGGCGTGAACAACCCGTGGCTTTGTTTTGGGAAAGAAATACCTGGCTTAACTAAAAAAAATTTAATTAAATCGCCCTTATCATGAGCGGCCGAGGTGACAACCCTCGGTTTCAACACGTGGCGTTTGTCAAGCAGTTCATCGCTAATTGGACATGGCCTAAGAAAGAAATTTTCCTAGCCAACTTGGCGTCTCCAAAGCAAAAATAAAAAATATTTCATTTCCTTTCGGCCCATATGTTGATAACAAAAAATCTTTATTATCGCAGGGCAAAAATCTATTCTGTCAAAAGAAAAACTTAGCCAGTGAAAACTACTTGTGTGTGATTTTAATTCTCCACACCCAGTGAAGACTGTCTGTGTTTCGTCAATGTTCAACAATGGATTTCTTCTTTTTGGTGACATCCATTGATAACAAAATTCCATTTTTCGTGGACAAGCGGAAATCGGTCAACGCTTGTTCGTAGGTGACCTAGATATTTTCGACATCTGATACCTATCAACTATAACCTTTTTCCTCCACCTTTCCGTCTCTTAAGCCGTGTGTGTGTGTGTTCGCCTATGACCCGTCTCGTATTACTTTTTCTTTCTTTCTTCTTCGTTTTCTCTTTCTTTCTCCCAAATCGCCTGAATGCAAGGAAAGAATTATTCTTAAAACCTAAGATATTTTTCGGCCTTAAACAATCCTCAAATGGTTGATAAACCGTAAAAAAGCAAATCATATATCTATAAATATTTCTTTCAAATCGTCAGGATGCATGGTGCCACAATTTTCTGTCTTCTCAATTCTTGTTCTTTTATTTTCCACTCTCCTTAAAAGTAGTTTTCCTCATCTTCTTTAGCACTCGGTAAACCCTTGCGTCCTAGTGGCTTTATTGTCATCTTTGGGGTGAAATGATTAAAAAAAAATACTACGGCGAAGAAGTAGCATTTAGGACGAAACAACTAGCGACTAAAGAGTTAACAGTGAAAGCAATAGATAGATAGATAGATATTAACTGACTGATATAGATATATATTAACTGACTGATAGATATATTAAGACAGATATTAATAGATTGAGATAGATATCAATAGACTGAGATAGACAGATAATGAAGAGACTGAGATAGATAGATGGATAGATAGATAGATAATGAAGAGACTGAGATAGATAGATAGATAGATAGATAGATAATGAAGAGACTGAGATAGATAAATAGATAGATAGATAGATAATGAAGAGACTGAGATAGATAGATAGATAATAAAGAGACTGAGATAGATAGAGAGAGATAGATAGATATATAGATAATGAAGAGACTGAGATAGATAGATAGATAGATAGATAGATAGATAGATAATGAAGAGACTGAGATAGATAGATAGATAGATATATAGATAATGAAGAGACTGAGATAGATAGAGAGAGATAGATAGATAGATATATAGATAATGAAGAGACTGAGATAGATAGATAGATAGATAGATAGATAGATAGATAGATAATGAAGAGACTGAGATAGATAGATAGATAGACAGATAGAGAGATAAGGAAGAGACTGAGATAGTTAGAGAGAGATAGATAGATATATAGATAATGAAGAGACTAAGATAGATAGATAGATAATGAAGAGACTGAGATAGATAGATAGATAGATAGATAGATAGATAGATAATGAAGAGACTGAGATAGATAGATAGATAGATAATGAAGAGATTGAGATAGATAGATAGATAGATAGATACTAAAGGTAAAATATATTTGGTGAAAAGATATACGATGTGGCGTAATGGATAATGGTTCGGTAATGCTAAACAGAGGAGCCGAGTTCAAATTCCAGTCGGTTATCATTACATTCACATTCAAGCGCAAATACGCATAGGATGCTGTTTTCTCCTCAGCTACGGGTTAAATAGCAGTAGAAATTGAATGTTATATATAGCCTTGGTTGGCAACCAGTTTACTACAAAAAGAAACAGCAGTTTACTGTTGGAAAATCCTCTGCCAAGTGAATCAAAAAGTGACATCATTATCCCAAGTGTTTATCGTTTATTGCACTTAACTGACTGACCAAAACTCCAAGTCCCGCTTACACAAACAACGTTTAAACCTATTACAATAATAGACTGCTTCATGAATAAGTTAGTTATATAGTCATCGTTATTTATTTATTTGTAATTTACACCCCTAGCAAGGCGATAATGTCACGCAGGGTGCTAAAGGGCATGAAAGAAGACTTTAGTGAGAAGTGAGGAAAATTCTGTTCGTGTTTATCAAATTTATTCTTAAAAAAACAAAGAACAGTTACATTTTATTCAATTATAAATTCAACGTTATTTATTTATTAATAACGTTCACCCCAGGCAAGGCGATAGTGTCACTAGGAGGCAGGCGGTTACAGGCTAAGATAGATAAGGAGAAGACTTTAGAGAGGAGTTAGAGTTATGAAAAACAGTAAAGATCTATCTATCTATCACAGTCTGTTCATATCTATCTATCTATCTATCTAGATATCCATCTTTAAAGACTTTAGAGAGAAGTTATGAAAAACAATAAAGATCTATCTATCTATCTATCTATCTATCTATCTATCTATCTATCTATCTATCCCAGTTCGTTCATATCTATCTATCTATCTATCTATCTATCTATCTATCGAGATATCCATCTTTAGAGACTTTAAAGAGAAGTTATGAAAAACAGTATCTATCTATCTATCTATCTATCTATCTATCTATCTATCTATCTATCTATCCCAGTCTGTCCATATCTATCTATCTATCTATCTATCTATCTATCTATCTATCTATCTATCCCAGTCCGAATTATGCATTGTGATTCGTCAATTTACAGGCCATTGAGAAAGGTATTACCGTACACCGTTTTACTTTTTATTATTTAGCCAGTCTGTTCATATCTATCTATCTATCTATCTATCTATCTATCTATCTATCTATCTATCTATCTATCTATCGAGATATCCATCTTTAGAGACTTTAAAGAGAAGTTATGAAAAACAGTAAAGATCTATCTATCTATCTATCTATCTATCTATCTATCTATCTATCTATCTCAGTCTGTTCATATCTATCTATCTATCTATCTATCTATCTATCTATCTATCTATCTAACAACATTCTTAACAGATGCAAATGATCTGCGCCTACTATTATTAATGGTCTTGGGTCTATTTCATCTTCATCGAACAAGCAAAAACACTTTGCAATGAACTTTGCCTCGAAGATCTACACCAGAAGCCCGAGGGTCATCCTCTGCCTGCCTTCCCTTTTCTCATGGTGCACAAGTTTTGCAACCTCACTATCTTGGTTCGGCTAATTTCCATTCTCTTCAAAACCTCTTCATCTACGATGGCCTGTACATCCCTATTGTACTTACGAACCTTTACCCTGAAGTAACTCCATTATTGGAATGCACTGAAAGTCATTTCTAAGTCAATTATGCAACTGCATGAATGTTAATTGTGTTAATGGGAACATTGTTCGAAAAACAGTTATTCGAACTGAAATTTGTTTAATGGAAATTAATCTAAAAGTATCACCTGAAGCATAATTATTCGAAATACCAATGTTTGAAATACGTATGTGGTCTTGCTTTTAGAGGGGGCTGACTTACCTAGAACTCATATAGCTCTTGAAGGATGGTGTATGTCTTTTTAACTGCAAGTGTCATCCCATCATCCCACAATATAGAAATTCTTAGGTTCCTTAAAAGAGAAAAGGACTTGCAAGAAATTCATATTGTAAAAGTAAGAGAAGGTTGCCAAAATATTAAGAGCGCCAAGAAATAGAAAATGGAAAACTTAAAATAATAAGTGGAATATTTTAACGAGTATTCTTCAGTAGCTGACTATTTTCCCTGAAGTTTCATATAACTTAAAGTTATAAGGATTTCTTCTTACTAAATTGTTTTATTAAAGATATTTTGAATAATTATCATTTCTGTATTTTCTCTTTTAATTTTTACGTTTGTTGTAATGAAGAATTTTGCATTTCGAATAATTATCATTTAGTATTATTGTCCCTTCGATTAATTTTCTATTCAAATAATTTACAGTTCGAAAATTATAATTTTCTTTCAAACAATTTAGAGTTCGAAAATTATAATTTTCTATTCAAACAATTTACAGTTCGAAAATTATAAGTTTCTATTCAAACAATTTACAGTTCGAAAATTATAATTTTCTATTCAAACAATTTACAGTTCGAAAATTATAAGTTTCAATTGAAACAATTTACAGTTCGAAAATTATAATTTTCAATTGAAACAATTTACAATTCGAAAATTATAATTTTCAATTCAAACAATTTACAATTCGAATTACGGTTCTTTGAGTAATTGTTTTCAAGCAATTATTTTTGAACAATGTTCACATAATTAATCTTAATCTGTTTAAATCTTCCTTGTACCTTTTTAGAAACGATCTGCCTCCTCCTGCCATATTTAGGCGCTTCAAAAATCAAATAGTTTATGTGAACATCGTTCGAAAATATTTTATAGGGTGAAGGTTTTCACTGAACGATTTTGTAGGAGGAAACTCATTTTGAACAGGAAATTATGCATTGTGATTCGTCAATTTACAGGCCATTGAGAAAAGTATTACCGTACACCGTTTTACTTTTTATTATTTAGCACGACTTGTAAGCGTCAACTGATATTTATATAATAAATGCGAATGTCAGTGTGTCACTATGTCATATTTTTCCAACTTTACTCCAAGATATCATAGCACAACATATCATACCTTTTGTGAATCAGGCCGAATCTGTGAGAAAATGGAAAACATTCCGGGACGGACCAGGACCCGCAATCCTGAATTTTGGGATTCCCAAATTTTCATTACTGCCATTGTATTCGGATTTCGCCATCTTGGCTTCTACTGATAAAAATAATCAAAGAGACACAACACTTTAACTTTGAATCGTTCAAGTACAAATGAAAAAAAAATACTGTTCTAAAATTACTGTGTTTCAAAATAAAATTGTTCGTTTTGTCATCTTTACTCCGAGAGGCCGTAGTCTAACATATCATACCATTTTGGAATCAGGCCGAATCTATCTATCTATCTATCTATCTATCTATCTATCTATCAGGAGTATCTCTTAAATCTTAACAGTCGCATTTAGTAAACGATCTATCTATCTATCTATCTATCTATCTATCTATCTATCTATCTATGTCACTCTGTTCACTTAAATCTTAAATCTTAACAGTCGCATTTAGTAATATCTATCTATCTATCTATCTATCTATCTATCTATCTATCTATCTCTGTTCTATGTTATCATCTATTAAATCAACTATTAACAATCGGATATTAGTCAGTCGATCTATGTATCTCTATCTATCTATCTATCTATCTATCTATCTATCTATCTATCAGGAGTATCTCTTAAATCAGCTCTTAACAGTCGCATTTAGTAAACGATCTATCTATCTATCTATCTATCTATCTATCTATCATCTATCTATAAATCTATCTAACAGTCATTCTGTTCTATCTATTATCTATCTATCTATCTATCTATCTATCTATCTATCATTATCTATCTATCTAGTCTGTTCACTTGTTATCTATCTATCTATAAATCATCTATCTAACAGTCGCATTTAAAACGATCTATCTATCTATCTATCTATCTATCTATCTATCTATCTATCTATCTATCTATCAGGAGTATCTCTTAAATCAGCTCTTAACAGTCGCATTTAGTAAACGATCTATCTATCTATCTATCTATCTATCTATCTATCTATCTATATCAGTCTGTTCTATCTATCTATTCATCTGTTCACTTGTTATCTATCTATCTATCTATCTATCTATCTATGACAACTATACCTTAAATCATCTCTTACTTGTCTCATTTAATTACCGGAGACTTTTCTTTATTATGTCGTAATTTCTGCCTCCCTTGTCCTCTGGATTACGCAATTTTTGTATATATCTGTCTACATTTTCCATTACATCTTTCGTGAATTTTCACCCATTATGTTTTTTTTCTCTTAATCTTCGAAAAACCATCTGTTATTCCTACTTGATTGTCTGTTACTCGGTTCATACCATTCGCCAATATCTCCCCTCGTCTTTCTCTCCCTCTCTTTCTTTCTCTATGAATCTTCGCCAGTTCCTTTGACTTTTCTTCCGTGTTTTCTCTCCTCGTCTGTCTTTCCCATGAACAAGCTCACACAGTGTCGCCCGTGCCGCTTTGTTGCCTTGGTAACGAAGCAGCCGACAACGTCACGTGACACTGTCTGGCGTAATGTCACCAAAACCTTGTGAGGAACAAGAGCGTTTAGACGCGCCCAGGGAATAGGAATCGATCTGGGGGAGAGAGAGAGAGAGAGAGAGAGAGAGAGAGAGAGAGAGAGAGAGAGAGAGAGACGTCACCGTATTCTGTGTGCACAGAAGACAGATTCCTAATACAGAATATCTATCTGTATATCTTTCTAGCTATCTTAAATCAGTGTTTAACTGAATTTGGAATTCAATCTTGGATAGCATAATATTATAATTTAGGTACATCCAACAATTCGCTAAAAAATGTTAGTACAGCATAATGATAACAGGTCCGAAACTTAATAAAAACAAAGTTTCATCATTAAAATGTTTATGTTATTATTAAGAGGAAAGAACAAATTATTTTTTTAAATATTTTTTAAAAATTTTCTCTTCTTTCTAACACGTTTTAAATTTGGGTAAAAAATCTCGTTTTTTTTTTTTTTTGTTAAAACCGTACGACTTGTTCTCGCCATTTTTAGTGTAGCAATTTCGGGGGAGAACCCATTAATTTTGAAATTATTGCAAAAATCAAATAATTGTCTAACTTAATTGAAACTTTCAGAACTTATTAAAAATGAATGAATATATATATATATATATATATATATATATATATATATATATATATATATATATAGTGTGTGTGTGTGTGCGGCAGAAGCACCTCCCACGAATATCTTCCACTAATGTCGCACTATTGTGCGGAAGGTATTCTTATAGTCATATGTCGGTGGTATATATATATATATATATTTGGTTGAATAGATGTGAGTTTGTGACCCCGGGTTCCACGCTTCAGCGATCGTCAGATCGCTAAAGCGTGAAACCCAGGGTCACAAACTCACATCTATCCAACCAAATATGTTAGCTCTATCTCTGATATTGAGCGCTTTCTAATAAGTACTGCGCTTATAATATATAAATAATTGTACATATATATATTTATTTATATACACTTTTCTCTCTCTCTCTCTCTCTCACACACACACACACACACACACACACATATATATATATATATATATGGTCATCCGATAAGTTCTGTCCAAATTTTACCTTTTTGTAAAATGAACGAAATTAAAGAGTATTTTATAATGTCTAATGGAGCTGAACATTATTTTTATGTTTAGATGCTTTTAAACTGATCACATTTTCTTTCAGAGAACAATAAAACTAAATTTGGTTTGACTAATACCCTGCTAACATGGAAGTACCCAGGAATCATTTGAGGCACATAATGCTTTATGAGTTCAAGAAAGGAAACTCGGCAGCCGAAGCGGCTAGAAACATTCACTCAGTTTATGGAGAGGAATGTGTGAATGAAAGAACTTGCAGAAGATGTTTTGCAAAATTCAGAGGTGGAGATTTCACCCTTGAAGATGAAGATCGAACCGGACGTCCAGTTGAGTTTGATGAAAAGCTTCTTGAAGCAGCCCTAGAAGAAAATCCTGCTTTATCAGTTGAGGAATTGGCAGTGGTTCTCAGGTCAAACCATACAACTGTTCATCATCATCTTCAACAACTTGGAAAAGTTTCTAAACTTGGAAAATGGGTGCCTCATGAATTGTCTGAAAACAACCTCAAATCCCGAGTTGACATCTGCTCTTCTCTCCATTCTCGCCAACTTGTTTCACCTTTTTTGGATAGACTTGTGACTGGCGATGAAAAATGGATCTTTTATCGAAATGTTAAGCGTCGTAGAGAGTGGCTTGGTAAAGGGGAAGGACCCCAGCCACAGCCGAGAAGGGAACTTCATGGGCAAAAGGTTCTTCTTTCAATCTGGTGGGATCGCAAAGGAATAATCCACTTTGAATTCTTACCACCTAATGCAACAATTAATGCTCAAATAACTGTCAGCAATTAGAGCATTTGAACCAAGCTTTAAGGAAAAAAAGACCTGCTCTAGTGAATCGAAAAAGGGTGATGTTTCATCAGGACAATGCGCGACCCCACACAGCAAGAATCACGTCACAAAAGATCGAAGAACTTGGTTGGGAGAAAATTCCTCATCCACATTATTCTCCCGATCTTGCTCCTTCAGACTACCATTTGTTTCGTAGCTTACAGAATAATTTGGAAGAAACAGCTTTTGTAAGACAGGAAGAGGTTAAAACTGACATTTGTGAGTTCTTCGAATCAAAGCCAAAAGAATTTTACAGTAATGGAATTAGTAAGCTTGTTAATAGATGGAAGGAAGTCATAGATAATCAGGGAAAGTACATTGTTGACTGAATCTGTAATTAAATGTAACATTTGGTCACTTGTTTTCTTTATTCAAAATTCGGACAGAACTTATGGGATGGATGATATATATATATATATATATATATATATATATATATATATATATATAATATATAAATAAATATAGGAGCGAAGAATAAAATTACAACCTCCTTCAGGTATTTAAAAATCATTGTTAATTACCTGAAGAGACGTTTTATTTAAACGTTGAAACAAAATGTACATTTTGCAATTAAATTAAAAGCATTAGTTCCATTTCATCTCGAAAAATTCGCTTGAAGATGAAATGGAACTAATGCTTTTAATTTAATTGCAAAATTAAATTCGGGGTTTTTAGCTTCTATTTTTGAAACATGGTTAGAACTGTGTAGCGGAAAAAACATATTTTAAATCAATTAATTTATAATATTAATGCTCTGTAAATTTACATTGAGCACTGTTTTGTAAACATAAAAATATTTATAAGAACACCGGATTTTATATCTTACATAAATATAGATTTACTTTTTTTAATCCTTTTTACAAATTATTTCTATCGCAAATACAGATAAAGTTATGAAGTTTTTAAAGTGCACACGAACTTTATGGACACGCTATATATATATATATATATATATATATATATATATATATATATATATATATATATATATATATGTGTGTGTGTGTGTGTGTGAGAAAATATATAGAAAATAGGAAAAGAACTCATTAGGTAAATAATCCAAAGTTCTTTAGTATTTTTGTTATTATTTTAAAAAAAAGTGCTCGATACAAAAGTAGAGCCAATATATATATATATATATATATATATATATATGTATATATATATATATATGTGTGTTTGTGTGTGTGTGTGTGTATATATGTATGTAAATAAGGCCTTTTGTTCAACAATATCGTTACGGTGTATTTATACCAATATTTTTATTATATTTATATATATATATATATATATATATATATATATATATATATATATATAATAATCAGCATCACTGTTTGCAAGGCAATAAAGCCACTAAGGGACAAAGGGGTTACAGGATGTGTAGGAATAAATACGGGAAGAGAAAAGATTAATCAGGAGAACAGTATACGTCGATTAACATTGCATTAAAATTTTTGCAGATTAATGTTGGTTGGAAAGGCTGGACCCGGAAAGGAGTTCCACATGCGATAAGTGCGAGAGAAGAAACTGTTAGAATAAAACGCACGGCTACATCTAGCTAGCTCAACTGTAAATGGATGAGATCTCGCTTAAATTCATAAAGTCTGGGTACCATAGCGAAGAGCTCACCCGAACAATTACCATGAAAGTATTTACAGAAAAGGCAGAGAGAGGCAACCTTACGGCGGTGGGAAAAGTGACTGAAGCCGAGACGCCAGACCAGGACCAATAATATTGCTGATTTTTCTTTGGATTTTATGAAAGAGCTCAAGGTAAATAGCAGGGGCATCGGGTCATATGTGGCAGCAATATTCTAAGCATGGACGAATGGTAGACTTATAGAGACGTAAGATAGATTTTTGGAGAGAAAAAAACACTTGCACGATACAGTGAACTGACTTTCTTGGCATCTGACCTGGCAGTGGATTCAATATAGTCCTTCCCCTTCATGTCATGTCAACCCAAGTAAGCGCAACTAGTCACTTTCCTGGAGGTTAGCATCAGTCATGCTGATGGAAGGTAGACGGGATACTCTCAGATGATTAATGGAGAGAAGTCTTGTCTTGGGGGCCGTTGAAATTAACAGTTCATCCTTTGCTCCAGTTGAAGACGGACTTGAGATCGTTTTGAATATCGGGTTTCATTTTGATTTGGCTAGGCTGATCAGCCTTACTATTGAGGCAGGAATAAATGGTTGTGTCTTTAGAGTAGATACCAACTTGAGCGCCGATGTCATCCGGGAGTTCATTGATGAAAATTAAAAAACAAAACAGGAATGGGGACACCAGTATGATGGATGCGAATGGGGACACTTTCCTTAAATAAGCATGGAATTAGTACGAAATGTACGTTAACAAAATGTATTGGAACGAATGGCAATATTTACAGTTAGTTTGATATATTTTCATTTCCGCGATTTGACTAAATAGGAAAGACTGGATTATTTCCGGTACCAAAATATGTCCACAGACACCGTAACTTTTTTCAGTTTATGGAAAAGACTGGATTATTCAAAAAATAAAAAACCCGTAACTTTTCAGTTTATGGAAAAGACCTGTATTCTAAAACCTGTCAAAGGCTTTCGAGATGTGCAAAGCTACAACACGGGCTTCACATTTTTTTTTATCTAGATCATGACAGACTTTTTTTTCGCAATTATCGTCAGCACATCAGCAGTGGACCTGGAGAAACGAAACCATATTGCTTGCCTGAGAAAAGAACCAGCAATGAGAGATGCTGAACGAATTTCGAATTGATTAGGGTCGCTAGATGTTTCTCCAAAACAGGTAGAAGGCTAACAGGCCGAGAGTTGGAAGGGCCGGACGGTTCAACAAAGTTCGTAAAAACTGGAACAACAGGCGATAACTTCCAGCAGGCGGGAAAGCATGAGGCATCGAGTCATTTATTATATAGTTTAGTGAGGACAGGAGCCAGTTCGGGAGCACATTTCTTAATGACTATTACAAGGATACCATCGGGTCCACATGCTTTGTGGGGATCTATGTTAGATATGATAGCATAAACCATGGTTAGGTAGGGATACTCAAGTTTTT